CTCTTTCTGAGCTTTATTCACTGCTCATGGAATATGATCTTCGACTTGAGATGTATCAAGGGTCTGCACAGTATCAATCCTCGGCCAATGTGGCATCTCGAGGACGTGGCAATCGTGGGTGCACCGGTGGCCGTCGTGGTGGCGGCAGATTCAATCAAGGGCGCCCAGCTCAAAACAATCAGAACTTTAGCAACCAAGGCAAAAATCAGCAGAGCAACAAAAGGATGCCATGTCAAATATGCAAGAAGGATAATCACAAAGCCAAACAATGCTACTTCCGCTATGAAGAAGATGATCAATATCGTGGGCGACCCACTGAAGCTTATGGTGTTGACACAAATTGGTATGCTGATAGTGGGGCTACAAACCATGTCACTGGCGAGCTAGAGAAGATGACAGTCCATGACAAATACAGTGGCAAGGAAAAGGTCCATACTGCAAGCGGCACAGGTATGAATATTAGTAATATTGGACATGCAATTTTTCATACCCCGTCACGTAAACTTCATCTTAATAATATTCTTCATGTACCTGCCTCTGCAAAAAGTCTAGCCTCCGTTCATAAACTTGCAAAAGACAACCATGCTTTCTTTGAATTTCATCCTGATTTCTTTCTTATCAAGGATCAGGACACGAGGAAGATTTTACACCACGGTAGATGCAAGGGTGGTTTGTACCCTCTCATCCCAAAAGAGGGGCTAGAGTCGAAATATGGAGCTTTTGGAGTTCATCTCCCATCTACATCCCTATGGCATAGTCGTCTAGGTCATCCTTCTATTCCTATAGTTCAGAAGATTCTTAGTCAGAATAAATTACCTTGTGATAGTTCTAAGAGTTTGGAGTCAGTTTGTGATTCATGTCAAAGGGCCAAGAGCCATCAACTTCCTTATTCTATATCAAATAAAATTTCGAGTGCTCCTCTTCAATTAATCTATTCTGATGTGTGGGGGCCGGCTCCAATCTCTGTTGGGCGCTACAATTATTACGTGAGTTTTATTGATGACTATAGCAAATATACATGGATCTATCTCTTGAAGCACAAGTCTGATGTGTTTCATGTTTTTCAAGATTTCCAAAAACTTGTTGAAAAAAAATTCTCTAAGAAAATCCTTTGCGTTCAATCCGATTGGGGAGGCGAGTATGAGAAACTAAATTCTTTTTTTAAGCAAGTTGGGATCACGCATCGTGTATCTTGTCCTCATGCTCATCAACAGAATGGGGCTGCCGAACATAAACATAGGCATATTGTTGAAGTCGGCCTAGCTCTTCTTGCTCACGCTTCCATGCCTCTAAAATTTTAGGATCAAGCTTTCCTTGCTGCCACATATCTCATCAACCTGCTTCCCAGCAAAGTCATCAATTTTGAAGTTCCCAGTACTCGCCTCCTACAAGAACAACCTGACTATAGCAATCTACTCACTTTTGGTTGTGCGTGTTGGCCCAATTTGCGACCATATAACTCCAAGAAATTATCTTTTCGATCAACCCAATGTGTTTTCCTTGGCTATAGTTCCATGCACAAAGGTTTTAAATGCCTTGATATTTCTACTGGCCGTATATATATTTCTCGGGACGTTGTGTTTGATGAAGCCGTTTTCCCGTTTTCAAAACTACATCCTAATGCTGGCGCGTTACTCAGAAAAGAAATCGTTCTCCTTCCTTCATCACTACTCAATCCCGGGGATGATTATTGCACTGCCTCTGATATTACTAATGCTAATGTGCCGGCTAATGCTAGTGGAGCTCAAGAAAATATTGCAGGCGATCTTGATTCACAGGTTCCTGGTGAACCAGTCTTTATGCCTGGAGCAGTGCAACATGATGCAGCAGATCCTAGCAGCCAGTCTGATGGTGATTCAGGCACAACTATCGGTGGTGATCCATCTGATCCGATCGTACCTGCCACTGTAGGCGCAGACGTCCTCAGCGAAGCTTCGTCGGATCACGCGGGCGAATCTCCTTCGGATCACGCGGGTGACGCGGTTTTGGATGATGCAAATGCACCTTCCTCACCGGCATCCAACCACACGCCAACACCTACATCACCCAGTGCATCTTCGCATGCGTCTTCACATGCGCCAGCTCAATCACGGCATCAAACACGTCTACAAAGCGGTATTACTAAACCAAAAAAAATGTATGATGGCATGATCAGATATGGCCTTTTCAGTGCTATTGGCGAGCCCAACTCTGTTGAAGAAGCACTCGCTGATCCTAGATGGCGACGAGCAATGGAAGCTGAGGTTCAAGCTCTTGATAGAAATCACACATGGCATCTGGTCCCAAATAAATGAAGACACAACGTAATAGATTGCAAATGGGTATTCAAAATAAAGCGCAAAGCTGATGGAAGTATTGATAGATACAAAGCTCGTTTGGTAGCGAAGGGCTTCAAACAGAGATATGGCATTGACTATGAGGATACTTTTAGTCCAGTTGTTAAGATGGCCACAATTAGATTGGTACTATCTGTTGCAGTTTCAAGTGGATGGTGCCTTCAACAACTTGATGTACAGAATGCGTTCTTGCATGGTGTTCTGGAAGAGGAAGTTTACATGAAACAACCACCAGGGTTTGAGAACTCTGAAATGCCTGGGTACATATGTAAATTGGATAAGGCTATCTATGGACTGAAGCAGGCGCCCAGGGCATGGTATTCTAGGTTAAGTTCCAAGCTCATCACTTTAGGCTTTGTACCTTCAAAATCAGATATGTCTCTATTTATATATCATAAGCATGGAATAACCATCTATATGCTCATCTATGTCGATGATATCATTGTTACAAGCTCATCTTCTGAAGCAGTAACAACTCTTCTTGCTCATTTGAAAGAGGATTTTGCTCTAAAGGATCTTGGCAAACTACATTACTTCTTGGGCATAGAAGTCACAGAAGATGCAAACGGCATAACTCTCTCTCAAGCTAAATATGCGCAGGATGTTCTAAAACGTGTAGGGATGCTCGGGTGTAAATCTTGCACCACTCCTTTATCCGCATCTGACAAATTGTCAAATTATGCTGGTGACCCACTCAGTCCTGAAGACGCTACTCGCTATAGAAGTATTGTTGGTGCTCTTCAATATTTGACTATCTCACGGCCGGATCTGTCCTTTGCTGTGAACAGAGTTTGTCAATTCCTTCATGCACCAACATCTATTCATTAGACTGCAGTGAAAAGAATACTAAGATATGTGCAACATAGCCTTTGTTTAGTTCCACCCCAATTTCTAAAAAGTTGCTACAGTACATGTCACATCGAATGTTTGTGGCCCGTGCATGGAGCATTAAATATAGACGAAAAGAAAAACTAATTACACAGTTTGGTGGGAAATTGCGAGACGAACGTTTTAAGCCTAATTAGTCCATGTTTGAACACTATTTACCAAATAAAAACGAAGATGCTACAGTAGCACCAAAATCCAAATTTCGCGAACTAAACAAGGGCATACTATTGGTTTTGGGATGCGTATTCAGAAAAATTGGTCATCAGTTATTAGTGCTTTCTCCGATGCAGATTGGGCAGGTGATCCAGATGATAGGCGCTCCAGAGGGGGCTTTGCTGTATTTTTTGGCAGCAATCTAATATCATGAAGTGCGAGGAAACAACCAACTGTCTCGAGATCTAGTACAGAGGCAGAATATAAGGCTATGGCGAATGCTACTGCAGAGATAATTTGGCTTGAGCAACTTGTTGCTGAACTGGGTATTAAATTGCAGCACACATCAATTCTTTGGTGTGATAATTTTGGTGCAACATATTTATCAGCTAATCCAGTGTTCCATTCTAGAGCAAAACATATTGAAATTGATTTTCACTTTGTACGAGAGAAAGTTATGAGAAGGCAACTACAAGTTTAATTCATTGCTTCTGGAGATCAGCTTGCGGACAGTTTTACAAAAGCTTTACCAATTACAAAGATGGATGCGTTTGTTCGCAATCTTAAACTTCAAGGTGGCTAGAAGAGTTTAGATTGAGTGGGGGTGTTAGAGATAATTCATGATAGAGTTGTAATCTAATATGTAGATGGTTGTTACCAGAACTCCTATAGATAGAATAGAGTTAAATTAGGATTGATGTATTGTCCGCACAGGAGTTCCAGTTCAAACCATCTATATCTGTAACATTTGCTTTTCTATATAAACATGCAACCTATGGTGAGCTAAGTTAGGTAACCATAGTTACTCTTGTTATCTTTTAATCTCGGGAATGTTGGAAAGAGTTTTCGAATACTAATAAAAAAATTAATTACATAGCTCGTCTGAAAACTGCAAGACAAATTTATTAAGCCTAATTAATCCATCATTAGCGCATATTAGTTACTGTAGCACTTATGGCTAATCATAGACTAATTAGTCTTAAAACATTCGTCTCGCGATTTCCAAACAAACTGTGAAATTAGTTTTTTTTTATCTATATTTAACACTCTATGCATATGCCGCAAGATTCGATGTGATAGTTTGGGGTGAAAATTTTTTTTTGAACTAAACCATGCCTTAGCGACTGTTCCTCTTCCTCCCCACCTTCTTTCTTACCACCACCAGGCGATAGTTCTTCCTCTGCGTGTTTGGATCTGAGGTGCTGGAAAGCGGCTCCCACGGTGATCCTGCCTAGGATCATCCCCAATACCGGTAAGTTTACCCTCGCTGTCTGAGAACCTAGATTTTGATTCTTCTCAAGGAAAGAGTAATATCAATGCTTATCCTCTTAGTTAGATTGCCCTATAGACATTAAGCCCGCTAGAAGTACCTATCCTCGGTGTGCTTCTCTGATCTATCTGCTGCTCCTACATGCATTTCTGATTTCGCTCGGTTCCGCGTAAATCACCTGCATCGCCACCACGATACTATGCCTCTTTTGTGCCTCGATCTTGTGTTGTCGCACCCTAGATCCTTTTTAAATCGCTGTGAAATCATGCGCTGCTGATGCTGCTTTCGTGCACCTGCCTAAACAAATGTAGCCTTTTTTACTGTCCAGAAACAGGCGTTTCCAGCGAGAAGAGATGGCGATGACCTACCAGCGGACAGCAGCAAACCTTGGCACGGTATGCAAAACGAGCCTGTATAGACACTACCCTTTGTTCGTCAAAGAAAGAACATCTCCATTTAGCTCGGTTCAGCCTGGTAGAGAAAATGTTGATTTTGCCCTCGAGCTTATCTTGCGGCTTCTACCGTTGACCTTACTCTGCGTATGAAACTATGAATTGATTCTACATTTTACTACCGATGCTGTTGCTCCCCCATTAGCTTATGGCTCTTGCAAAACATATCACTGCAGGATGCGCGGGTTGTTCCGTTACTCTCTGTGGTGAAGCCTGATCCTGTGATGAAGAGCAAGGAAAAGGATCTTGCAAACGCAGTCCTTGCTATTGACATTAGCCCTGCCACTGCTAACCCATCTGTCAGGGATATCTACCTCGCTGTTGCAAAACAGTTCAGCAATGTAGCTAGACCCACTTCGGTTACGCCCTTCTACACTGACTTCGTCATTCAGTTTGCTACACCCCAGGAACGGGACTTTGTTTTGTGCTTTTGTGCTCTGAGCTGCTCTATGGCCGTGGTTACGATATGATCCTTATCCCTTGGTCAAGGAGCTATCGCAGCAAGATCATCCGTTGGCAAACTGAGGTGGCTATAGACATTGGTATCCACCCTGTTCATGCATGCTATCAACACTGCCTGCAGCCACTGCTTTCATCATACTGTAAGATCAAGACCTGTACCTTCAACACGCGCAGAGGCACATGCCGTGTTGTTGGTCTTGCGCTTAACGTGCAGTCCATCCCATCTGATGGCAGCGTTGCTCTCCAGTACGATGATCATACCGGTGTATCCATGGAGGCCTTCCCTGTTACAATGAGGACCTATCTTCTTGCACAGGCGCCAGAATTCAGGAATGATCCTTCGCCTCATGATTCACCTGCGTCCCCAGATTCGTTTGACACAGGTGACTAATTCTTGATCCTCTATTTTCCGCTTAATCTCGCTACAAGCCTCACACTAATGCTAGCTCTGTGCCCATTTTGGTACTAGCTATAGAATGTGGCGTGGATCCAGAGGTCCTTCAAGAGGCTTACGAGGAGCAGCACAGAGGTACTGTCGCATACATTTTTATAGATACAAGATATAACGAATCGTGATCATCTTTGTTTCTCTTGTGCATGTCTCTCTTCAGCTAATCAAGAGCTAGAGAATGCATGGGCCAATTCGCTTGGCGTTGCGCTATATAGTTCAGGTAAACCAAGATTCATCCATCATACATTTCATTCAGTCAACTTGCCATATACCACATAATGTGTTACATAGTTTCTAAGCTAAACGTTTACGCAGCTTCTTCCTCAGGCCCCTCAGATATCAGCGATGATGGTTGGGAGTCTGAACGCAGCTGGCACCTGCGTTATGGACAGTAGAGCAGCAGAGCTGCAACACTCGCTCTCCATGTAGCCTCAACAACCACCATCGGTCTTCTTTTGTAATGCTGCTAGCCCTGTACTATCTATTGATGTTATGTTGCACTTGGACATGCTAGCCTCCCAGCTGTATTGTTCTGTTAATTGACATTTGGCTATGTAGCCTTATTATGCACGCTACCAGTCTGTGCGCGCTAATCATCATCTCTGTAACATTCAGAAGAACCTGTGCTCAGTGACCGTTCCAGAACATTTATATGTTATCTATGTATGGTATGGTATACTTTGACATCTTAGCCTACCATCAGCGGGCATTATTAATTGCGAGCTATCCTGCCTTCATATTTTGTGGTACAGACAGCGCGCGAGGGTGTGCGCTAATCACTAGTATGTATTATATCCAGAGTGCTCGACATGATGATCTACTCAGCTATATTTTAATATAATTCTTCTTTAGTCTCAAAAAAAAGATTATTCCCTCTGTCCCTAAATAACTGTCGTTTTCACTTCCTAAGAAACAATTTTGACTAAATATATATAAAAAATATTAATATTTATGGTACAAAATTAATATCATTGGATAGATCGTTGAATCTATTTTTATAATAAGTTTATTTGGAGAAATAAATATTACACGTATTTTCTATAAATTCAGTCAAATTTATGGCACGGAAACCAAAAGCGACACTTTGGGACCGAGAGAGTAGTTATGAGTCCACCGATTGTTAGAACTAAAACTTAGGTGATTAAAATTTAATCATGTTCTATTTTTGCTTCGAAGGAGAGAGCGAGTAGTCCTGACACGATTTGCGCACAATGGGCCGTTGTTTGTTTGAAGTGGGCTGCAACTGTAATGGGCTCACTGGGGATTGTCTAACGGGCACGCATGCGGGCAAGGTGGTGCCGGCCTGGGGATTTTTTTATTTTAATCCTTTTTTATTTAGTATTTTAATAATAATCATTCTAATTTTTTTTTTGGATTTGACTGTTTTGGTTGCGCCGCGCCGCTGGCACGATCAAATAACATAGTCGCGCCACATATATTGACACAGCAATATCCACCACGTTAGACGGCGTTTCCGACGTGGAAAACGCTGTCACGTCACTTCCGCTGACGTGACAGTATTGTTCTGTCACGCCATCGAGAGTGGCGTGACCAGACAAAACCTTTAAGAAATCCTAACTCTTTGATACAGCGTTGGATGAAGATAAAATTTATATGAAAATTATAGCTCTCGATGAGATCTACAACTTTATAGTTTTAAGTTTTTCCATTTGAGAAGGTTAAGATGCTCATAAAATTAATATAAAATTTCAGGAGCATAATAACCGCGTACAAGTGCTTGTTGCATTAGAAAAATAATATTATTTTTGTAAGGTATCAAATGAAGATACTTTCTAAACGAGAGTTGTAGCTCTCAATGAGATTTATAACTTTATAGTTTTGAGTTTTTACATTTGAGATCCTTAAAATGCACGAAAAAATAATATAAAATTTCAGCAGCATAATAATCGCGTACTGACGCTTGTCGTATTAGAAAAATAATATGGTTTATATATATATTTTATATCAAATTTGTAGCCCTTAATGAGATATACAACTTTATAGTTTTGAGTTTTCACATTTGGAATCGTTAAGATGCTCAAAAAAAATAATATAATATTTCAATAACATAATATGCTGCTAAAACTTTATATTAGTTTTTGGAGTATGTTAACGACCTCAAATATGAAAACTCAAAACTATATAGTTGTAGATTTCACTAAGAGCTACAACTTTGATATAAAATATATCTTTATTTGACACCATACAAAAACGATATTATTTTTCTAATGTCACATGCGCTAGTACGCGATTATTATGCTGCTAAATTTTTATATTATTTTTCGTGTATTTCAATGATCTCAAATGTAAAAACTCAAAACTACAAAGTTGTATATTTCATTGCGAGGTACAACTTTTATGTAAAAAGTATCTCATTTGACTTCATACAAAAATGATATTATTTTTCTAATGCGACAAACACCTGTACGTGGTTATTATGGTCCTGAAATTTTGTATTAATTGTTTGAGCATCTTAACATCCTTGAATGAAAAAACTCAAAACTATAAACTTGAAAATCTCATCGAGAGCTACAATTTTTATATAAAATTCATCTTCATCTGACGTCGTATCAAAGAGTGATGATTATTCAAAGGTTTTGTCTTGTCACGCAACTTCCGGTGACGCGATAGAATAATACTGTAACGCCAGCGGGAAATGGCGTGATAAGTTTTTCCACATTAGAAACGTCATCCAACGTGGTATATCTTGTCGCGCAAATGCATGTGGCGCAACAGCGTTATTTAGAGGGTGTTTGGTTGCACCTCCTAAATTTTAGTCGCGGTCCCATCGACTATTTGAACATATGCATGGAGTATTAAATATAGACTAATTACGAAACTAATTATATAGTTTACGACTAATTTGCGAGACGAATCTTTTAAACCTAATTAGTCCATAATTTGATAATGTTTTGCTACAGTAACATGTGCTAATGACGGATTAATTAGACTTAAAAAATTCATCTCGTAAAGTATTAACAGATTATGTAATTTAGTTTTTTATTAGTATTCAAATATCCCATACAGCACATACCTTCTAAATTTTTAGTTACCGGATCCGAACACGCCCTTATACTCACGCCGGCAACTAAGGTGCGGCTTATATCTGAAAATTATTTTTTGAGCGGTTACTATTAAAATATTGAATAAAAAATAATTAAAATATAAAAATTCTCCCCGGGCTGGCAGGGACGCCACGACGGGACGGCAACTGAGACGTCCGGCTCAAGAGTTCTGACGGCCTTCAAGGCGTACCGAGGAGGTTGCCGTCTGCTAGCATGCCGTGGGCGGTGGTGGCAAGGCGGACCTCCAGGAGGCGTGGGAGCCGTCGTGCCAGAGTGCCGGACGGCGCCGCCGCTCCAGGATGACTGGATGAGCATCATTTCTGGACTGGATGGTAAGTTCTAGTGTTTCTAGTAGATTTTTTGATTCGGTCAAATGTTTAAAGCCGTCTAGTTGGCAACTTAGTGAAGCGGATTACCATTAATTTCTGCGTGGCTGCAGAAAATGATTTGTGATTAGTGGATCTCTATCTAATCTCGATCATTCTTTCAATTTTGTCTATGTGAATGTTACTTATCTTTGGCTATTCTAACACAACAATTTGCAAGTTTTGGTGAGAAATGTCCTTCCCCTCTGACATTGGGAAAACACTTGACAATAACCTTTTTTTTTTCTCGAACACTCAAGAGACATTATGTTAAGAAGAAAAATGGGACAAGAACCCACAAACACACCAATCTATTGTTTTGTGCCCGGACGCCAACCTACTACACTTCATGAGCCGGACCAGTCAAAGAAGAGAGGCTCTGTGCGCCTCCTGTCTCCCAAAGGCGCCGTTCATCACTAGTAGCGCTGAGAGATTGGTCCTTTTGATTTGAGAAGCAACTCATATTAACAAGGGAATTTGAGTAGTTGTAGAAATTTTCTGAAGATGGTTTCCAAATTCCAATGCACATCTTTGTTGATGAACTTGCTAAATGACGATGCTATATCTGTATCATTGGTGCTAACTGAGCATCTCCAAGACCAAACTATATATTGATTTGTGTGGTGGCTGCATTCTTCCCTCATACAGCAGCCAAACAACTTCCCATCAACCCAAGACCAAACTATTATAAGCTACTGAACAATCAGTTCTATATTCTGAATTGTAATGGGCTAATAACTTCTCTGAGGTTCCCCTACAATGATGGTTTAGAGGAAACCAAAGTTGAAGACTGGAAATTGAAGACAACTAGATTGACAAATGGAGATAGTTCACAAAGGAATTAGACGTATACATGGATATAATCTACACAGGAATATATGTATTGTGGAAGCCGAATTTTATGTATGCATGATTCATAACTGGAATGAGGACTTTGTTGTCTAAACAAGTCATTGATCAACAGAAAAAGAGCGAAATAACATGTCATATAGACGAACTTGGCCACGATTGGTCTGAAGGTGCTAAGATTAGAGACCTTATTACATAAACATGTGGAATTTGTAAGGTATATAAGACCCCAACAAAGAAACCGCAGGAAAATGACATAAAGGAGGTACTTCATAGGTTCATCTATGTGCCACGTCTCTCTGATTCAGGAAGATTATCTTTGTTACCCTCTGACTGACTGGGTTTAATTGACCTATCTGATGTGCTGTCATTTCTGCTGTTCTTCACTTGCTGAGTATCAGAGGTGATTTTTTCTTCAGAAATAACTTCTGAACTTTTCTCATAGTTCTTATCAGCATTTGTGGGGAGATCCTTCTTCCTTTGCTGCTCTGCTCCTGACCCCAGTGATGCAGCTTCAGAACCCTGCTTCACATTTTCTTGCAGTGTTATAGCAGACTTTTCTCCTTGCAGTTGCTTGCTCTTCTCAGGGTTTGAAGGCAATACTTCTTCGGATGTTGCTAAGGTAGGAGAATTTGCTGTCTCGTCGGTTTGCTTGCCACCATCTTTAGATGCCTGAGGCTTGTTCTGGTCAGACTGTATCTGTAGCTTGGATGTTTCACCAGTTGTCGTTGCTTGAGCTTGTCCCATGTTATAGCTACTGGCATCTGCCAAGGAATCTTCCTCTTTGCTCTTGCCAATTCTAGTGACTGGTGCTGCATAATCACCTTGCTTCTTGTTTTCAGCTAGCTGAGCCTTGGATTGATCTCTTGCTACCTGTTCTACTGCTTCTTCCTCATATGCTTTATTATTATCTTCAGGTGGTTTCACTCGTGGAGGCACAGAAGAAAGTACTCCAGTATTCCTGGGAGCTTGCCCACCCGGTTGCCTATTGGGCGATACCACACTGGTTTGACTGGTTTCAGCAATACTGGTCTTCTCATTCCTTATATCAGATAAAGAAGATAATTGCGGTGATGGTTTTGACAATTGGCCTGCATTACGTCATGAATATGATCAGCCAGCACATCGATGAGGTTATAGTGAACTTCTCTCCCGAAGACATGGACTATAGACTACTTATCATAAAGACAAATATTAACTAGATTTAGACTGACAACTTAGTTGTCTAAACTAGCATTGTACCTAAATCTTTCCTTAAGAGGCTCCTAACAGTCTTCTACAGTCCTGCTATATGAGAAACAATTTTAGGAGTGTAAATTGATAGTGGCAAATAAATGCAGAATAGTTCTCTTAAATACTAAGACTTGTTTGGGGTATTTTGTGCATGAAACACATTAAGAAATTTAGAGCTGCTACTTTTGAGAAGATTTGGTGCCTTGTTTGAGGCAACTGCTTAGGAGCATGCTTCTATGTTCTGTTGGGCAATGGTCAGTGCAGATCATCATAGGTAACAAAGGTGCAGTTTCAGTATTTCAAAAGATCAATTATGAGATTAAGCAATTTTTTCCAGTATTAGCTCTTTACCTGAAGTTGCACGGTTTTGTGTGTCTGGATTTGGTGCTAGCTTTCCTGGTGTAATTAGGAGCTTGCTTCTTGGATCATCAGGAGATGATTTGGCTGCCTTGTTCTTGCCATTCTCATCAAGATTTCCTTCACTGGGATCTACAGAAGCATTTTGTCCAACAGAAGCTTGTGTTCGCGCTGGTGCAGGAAGTGCTGCACTTGGATCGACCATTGCTGCTATGGTTGATTTATCACCGAGGGTTCCTGAAGTTGGTTCTGCTGCCCTTTTGCCAACAATAGATTTTTTGTTTGTGTCACGGTCACCAGTATCTTGAACACCTGGGATTTCTCCTTGGCTAGCTGGAGCTTGCTTCCCATAAATATCAAGAATTGCTTTTTGGACTGATGCTGATGTACCTTGACTGTCAGAAGCTTTCCTTGTTGCCTCTAGAGCTCTTTCGCCCATGGTGGAACTCTTCTTTGTCTGTTCATCACTGAAAATACGAGCACGTGGGTCAGCTCCTTGCATCAGTTCTGGACTACTTTTAGCATCAGCTGGGGTTTGCTGCGATGTGCGTTGTGGTTTTCTTATGTCAACACCTTCTATTTTGGCCAACTTGTCATTGCTAGGAGTAGGAGGAGGTACTTGTTGGATGCTTTGTGAATATCCTGGCCTAGCAGTAGCACAATCATTGTAAGGCACTCCTTTAGGTGGCGAAATGTCTCCCCTTTCATCTGCAGCTTCTGGAGTATAAGGGGCTCTTGTGCCTGTTGATGGAGAGCTGGTTATTTTGTTGGCTGGGACTGTTGTGGTTTGCTTTTCTCTGTTATGCACACCTGAAGGATCCTTGATGACAGGTGCTTCCTCCTCCATGGTTGGGTCTTGAGAACCTTGAGCATCTGGATTAAACATTCTCCGGAGCCTTTTAGTTGAGAATCTTTCATCTCCATCAGTGCCATCCTGAGTATCTTCTTCAGATTCTACTTGCCTTGGTGATGTGCCAGATACTTTCTGCCCAGTAGGTATTGCCTTACCTTGTTTCTGGACATCCTGGACACCTGATTTCTTGGCTGGAGATGGAGCCCTATCTTGATCAGCTCCAGTTGCTCTCTTGGTGTCAGCTAGGGCACCAGCTTGCCTTTGACTGGTTTTGCTAGGAGTTGAGGCACCTTTCTGGCTGGGATTCTCTGAATCGGTTCTCTGATCCATCTTGGTAGTGGTAGTTGTAGTGGAAGGCTGGAAGAAGCTACTTTTAGTGTTCTGGACACTGCTAGGTGGTTTCTGAGTGTTGGGATCTCTCTGCCTTGTTGTTGGTGGATGTTTTTCAGTGGTTGTAAAGAAGCCACCTTCATTTCTTTGGATAAGTGAAGAAGGCTTAAGCTCAGAGGCAGTTTCATGTTCTTGTGGAGCTGATGGAATGGAGGTTATGATGGTACCAGTGCTGGGAGGAGGAACAAGCACTGTCTGTGACTTTGTACCCTCTTGCTGCTGATGGCTTATGTGAATATCACGGCCACTGAATGGCTGCAAATACTCTGTCTGCCATTGTTGCTGCTCCTTCTTGAGTTCCTCCTTTCTGTGCTCCTCCTCCACAGCCTTCATGTCCTTCAGCACCTGCTGCCAGGAATCACGGGCAGAGATTGTGTTCCACCACCTCTGCACATTCTTCCTCGAGTCATACAAGTAAGCGAACCTCTCTGATGTGATGACGTGGTGGGTGCCTGGCAGGTGAACAAGGTCAGCAAGGGTGAACTTATTCCTCACAAGGAACTCGGTCTCACCAAGCCTCTGCTCATAAACTTCTAGGACTTCCTCCAGCTTCCGCTTCTCTCTGTTGATGTCTTCATCATAGTCATCATCCTTGTCTTCCAGTGGGAAGGCAAGGTGGCAGAACAATGCCCGGCTCGGAGGATCGAAGGCATGCTCCTCGTTCCTGAGCCATTGTTCAATTGAAGCCCTTTCAAGGACATCCTTTCCCAGAAGGAAAGGATACCCTTGATGCTCGTAGGTCTCTGCTATATAGCGACAGATTGCTCTTGAATCTGCAGATTACAGGACAGGTCAATTTGCATTCTACCTCTGATTTTCTTATTTAGTCCAAGTAGCTAGTAATGAACTACTGTCACTTGACTTTGCTGAAAATTTTAGTTTGTGGTTTAAATTTCATTTTGTTAATTCTCCCTCCATCCCAATTGTAGGTCGCTGTAGTTTTTCTTTAAGTCAAACTTCTCAAGCTTTGACCAAACTTATAGAAAAAAATGCACTAACATGTACGACATAAATTTAGTTCCGTTAAATCCACCATATAATATGTCTTGATAGTGTATTTATTTGGTATTGTAGATGTTAATATATGTTTTTCTTTAATGGTTGAAGTTAGCGAAGTTTGACTTTGGACAAACTAAAATGACCTACACTTTGGGATGGAGAGAGAATATGGAAAGGAGCACCATGTTGTGTTAATACCATGCAATAATGCTTGTACAACCATGTTGAAGTGCTTCATACATCTTTTCATTCCGAAAACATTTGTGTGAAACATTTAAACATCATTGCATTTCATTTCCGAATGTGATCCTGGAAAAGTTTTCTGCTTATGTTTCATGCATGAATGAGAACAAGCCAGTGTACCCTAAAATTCAATGAGCAATAATTCCTTATTTTTCATTATGACTTGTGCATTGAAATGGAAGTGGGTAAAAACTTGGCAAACAAAATGCTGAAGAATAAACATATAACCCGAGGCTACAGAGCTTATTTCTTTCTTTGTTTCGTTTTGAATTTCATGTCACATTGGGAGACAATGGAGATCCTATATAATCTTCTAAGATTCCTAGAAATTAGATTTATTGAATTGAATCTACAGTTTGTTCCCATGGCATTTTTTTTCTTGCCGGCAATTCTTTTTGGTTTAAAGATTTACACTTACTTGGCTTGAACAAGATATGCACTAAGAGCCTGGGGCCCAAAACAGTGCAGTCTATGTGCAGTCCTTTTTTTTGTGTCCTGCTACTTTCAAACGTTCCATTGTATGTTTCAGGAAGAAGATGATACTGGTTTGAAGAATTGAGGGCTGACACATATCAAGGTTTACATTTTTAATATCTGGCACATTTTCATTTTCTTCACACAGAAATAACTGCTCAATATTGATGACAGAACAACTTCATCAGCATGTCTCCTATATTAGTACATATACACTGAATTAAACTTGTATGCATAAATTATGTAGACTCTAGTTCTTAATCAATATTATTTTTTAAGTAGCTAATTCAAAGAAGAAAATAGAACTTTTGTGGCTGTTAAAGATGTAATAACAATTTAAGATGAATAGACTGATACAAAGGATTGGCTTATAGTATGATCATTGTAGCCTGAACTAATAATTGGAAGTTTGTTTTTTTCTTTTTATGCAACTTCAATGGAGAACCACTTCTATTATGTACCTTTTCCCATTGAGAAGCCTTGGAATGATCAGAATTACCTTTTTACTCTTCTTGTAATCTGATTGTTTTCGATGAGTACAATTCGTTTTTACTTGTTTCTTTTTGCTTTTTTTCTGAATGCATACTCTTGTCTTTTATTAGAAAATGTTATTCATAAAGCTACTCATGCCGATTATTTCTTGGATTATGTGATTCACCTACTGAAGTTATTTCACTTGGACAACATATCATTCTATCATGCGCATATGTAACATGCAAAACAGTATGTACTGTAACCACACTACCCAATGACGCTATAAATCTGTACAGCTTGAGTATGTAACAAAATTGCAGCTGTACCTTGCAGAAATATGGGTCCATCGTAGAACGGAACTGGAACACTCCTGGACGCCTGCAGAGAAGATGTTATGTTGTGTAAGCTAAACAACAGCTGTGTCGACTATTTGGGAGTTGCAAAAAATCTTGGTGTATATAGCAAGTACCTGGAGGCTGAGTATGTCCTTGTAAGAGGCTTTGAATGTCTCAAATTTGACATTTTTCTCGTACAGGCATGTCAGCACCCTCGACACATCCGGTAGGATCATGGATTTCTCATGGTACACATTTACAACAGGAGGCCCTGCACTGGTGCTAAGGCCTGCCATGGTGACAAGAGCTCAGGCTCACTGGTTCACAGAAATGAAGGTAATGGTGTGCAAGCATGGTGATCCAACCGTCATTGTTTTAATATTAGAAGGTTCTGTCCATGCCTGCCTGAACAAGCAAAGAGAAGATGCTTAAAGTGTCAGCTTAGGAACAGGTGGTGATAGAGTGAGAAGTAGGACTAGAAATAAAGAAAAGATAAAAAGAAAAGGTGACGAAGGGGACGAAAGCAAAAGGCAAAGTGGAGTAAATCTGATGGATTTGGATTGTGGATGATGCTATTTTGGTATCCATACAATATATATGATTACATCATTGAAAAATGGTGAATTCCATCCTAGACTCCAAGTTTAAAGTGAAAGGGCAAAAGAAGCCCCTCAGCCATAGGGCTGTATTCATTCCTTGCCGCTTTGATAAAAGGAGACGCAAACTGCTGGTACGGGAGCACACAGGTTCTGCCTAAGAAGGCAAGTTTAGCATCTAAAAACCATGATGTCCCCTACATGTACCGGCATACCGGCAGACAAACAGGATGGGTAATGAACGGTCTGGGTGTCCTTCTAGGCTTTTACCATGCAGGGAAACTTTTATGGAAAATAACTTGTCCCCAGGAATAGGAGCAATATTCAGATAGTTTACATGTGTGATTTATTTTCTAATTTTACACACTAGCAACGCTCTGGGTACCTTTACTCCGCTTCGATATGAATGATTTCATGATGCAGGCATGCAGCTGACGAAATGCCGGTGAATGGCCTGCAGCGATGACGGTTTGATGCTCCAGTCCAGTGATCTGTCATGAAGCATAGAGGCCGCAAGTGGTGCGGTCCTGCAAAGCAAACAGGATGCATGAAAGGAAGTGCTTGCCTTGGCGCTGATTGCAATGTTTATGTTTATTGTTTATTGGGGCATGCCTTCTGAAGCTTCACCTTGAAAAAATAAAACTCCTACACCTGCCTTTCCAAGCTGCTTGTCAGATAATGACGATCGTGTATTTGTGAGTGATCATGAGAAGCGCGAAAATATATCTGAAACCAATTTGCATAACAAGGAACATTTTGAATAGTAGCATCATTTGATGGTGGCAACTGCAAACTTCTAAATGTAAATAAAGACGTTGGGAGTCTTAGCGAATTCATAAAGAGTGTGCTTGGCGGCGACAAACGTCTCAGATTCCCAGTAGAATCACTACCAAACATCACAAACAGAGAAAAGTTTTAAGAAAAAAATCATTTGTCTAGAGAAACACTTTAAGACCTAGTTTCTCATGATTCTAATTCTATTTTTAAAAATTCACCGAGCTTGTCAAACGGTTTAACAAAATGATATAATTCATCGTAGAAATGTTTCCGAAGGGAATTTAGATCCAAAATGTTTCTACAAAAATCTAAAACCCTACTAAATGTGTTTTAAGGTTAGTCTCAATGAGGATTTCATAAGAGTTTCATGGACACTAAATAAACGCATGGCATAGTATGGATGAAGAGAGAGATGATGAAGTTTTTATGGATGAAATAAGTTTTATGGGAATGAAACTTGTCTCCACCATTTTCAACAGATGGGACTCTTAAAAACTAGATATGAAATCTCACTGAGACTAGCCTAATTTAATGCTTTTACGATATCCACCTGTCGGTGCGGGACCCGCAGGATACCCAGCAAGGAAGAGAGAAGATCTAGTCTAACTAGAATTCTCCCCATTTAATCTTAGTAGTAGTATTATTCTGTAATCCTACTAGGAACTCTCATCGTAAACCGACTAGGATTCTGACCTCCTGACTATATAAAGGAGGGCATGATCCTAGAGAGGGCGACAACGCAACAACACACAATCAATACAACACAGAGGCTAACGCCGACTGGACGTAGGGCTATTACTCGACCACAGTCGAGGGTCCGAACTAGGATAAATCGACTATCTTTTACGTTCACCGTCGAGTTCCGCATAAGCCGAAGCCCGAACATACTGTCCCGGGTAACCCCGTGGCAGGCTATCGGTGGTAAAACATCGACAGCTAGCGCGCCAGGTAGGGGCTTTCGGCGAATTTGCGTCCGAGAGCTCAATGGACCTCGACAGCATGATCTTCTCGACGAGATCAACTTTCATCTTCGGCTCATGGATCTACGAGGCGGACGACAATGGCAAGCTCCAAAGCCGTCTCCTCGAAGATTCGAATCACCATGAAGACTGTTCTATTTCGGCGACTACGACAGATCAAATCACCGGAAGATTCGCGCAGCTCATGATGTCCGATTCAACTCAGGTTTCGCGGCTTTGCGCATCTGACTCGAACTCAGGCTCCGCATCCGAGATAGAGTCTTATCTGAGTTCTTTCGGAAACCGAGTTCTTTTCCGGTGGGGCTTAAGAACGCGGCCCTGACCTATCAAGAATATAACTCAGAGTACACGTAGAATCTTTTCAAGAAGTCAGATCCTTTTCCGCTCGGACTCCACAACATGGCAACATCTTATCAGACACGGCCCGAAGGATTCCTCGATCCGGTGCTTAGAATGCCACTGAAGGGAGCTCAGGAAGGTCTCGTACTAACTATAACATCTCAAGACTGCATCGTCCACTGGCCGGGCTTTGTTCCTGAGGATAGCAGTACCCGACTAGTCGACACGATGACAACAGCAATTCTACCCTACCAAGAAGGAGACTCGATCTGCGACCTCGAGGCCTCTACTAAAGTTATCAAAGAACTCCGACAAAGGTGGAAACTAACGCCAATAATAGAACAGTTCATGCACGGGAAGTACTCATGGTTTGCCGTCCTCGATCACCATTGGTCCCCCCAGAAGCTCCCGATGTCAGGTCATCGGATGAATCAGAATCCAACATATCACCCTTTGCCCAGGGCTACGATGGTGAGACCGAGAATCAGAAACAAGCCAGAGAAAGAAAAAACAAGTTGAAGCAAGGATGCCAACATCATGCTAGGCAGCGCAAGGAAGCTTGGATCAGATATGAGTCAGAGTTGGCCGAGTACGACAGAAGAAAATCACAACGAGAAGTCGAAGAAAGACGCATGGCAAATACGCCCTACGATAAGATCCGAGAAGCATTAGAAGAACTCAGAGCGACCTCACATCCCAGTGAAAAACAAGAACAGCTCCGGGACTTTCTCCGGTCAGCAGCCCTAAGGACGCATGAAGAAAGGACCCACTCAAGACTACCCGCTAGATCAACGACCCATAGGCAAGAAGATCAAAATCAAAGAAAGTCCGCTTTCGAGAGACTTGGACCAAGTAGAAGTCATAACAGAGAAAGTAGAAGGGACCATAGTCAGAGCCACCAAGTTGAACAACCAAGAAAGACCAAAAGCAGGGTGCCTGCCCAGACAGCCTCGCAAGATTACTCTCATCAAAACAACAGTTGGCCAGAAGGAGGTGCCGAATCGGAATTCAAAGAAGCCGGAACGCACGATAGATTCCCCTGTTTTGCAAACAGACTTGCGTCAAGACGACTACCTCACAAGTTCAAACTGTCCAACCACTCTAAGTATGATGGCAAAACTGAACCAAGGCAGTGGCTCAAGATATATTCGCAATCGATTGAACTAGCCGGAGGAGACGACGATATCAAGACCCTGTTCTTTCCCATGGCCCTGGAAACCATGCCTCTCCAATGGTTCGACAAATTGAATCTAGGATCAATCAGAAATTGGGAGGACTTGCAAAGAGCTTTCTGTGAAAATTTCACAGGGATCATTACACACCCAATCACCCACGCAGAGTTAAAAGGACTCAAGCAGAAGGGAGGTGAAAGTCTCAGAGATTACTATCGACGATTCGGCGAACTACGAGCTCAAGTACATGACATCACCGAACGAGAAGTAATTGAAGCTTTCTCTCACGGAATCATGGCTAGATGGCAATTTCAAGACTTCTGCAAAGAAAATCCGAGAAACAATGAAGAATTTAGACGAACAGTAGAAAAGATGATTACTACAGAAGAGAAGACATGAGAAAGGTTCCCGGATAGAAGCAACCGAGACAACCCGGACAAGCAAAATCATCGAAATAGCAGACATCATGAAAGAAAACGTAGACCAAACAACACCGTGGCAATGGCTGACAAATCAAAGAAGTTTTACAAACCCAGAAGATATGACGACATTGAAAATATGCATTGCATCTTACACCCTAATGGAAAGCACACCATCGGAAATTGCTACACCTTGAAAGATCGATACAGAAGAAAAGATAATAAGGAGAACACAAAGAAGACGGTCAGAAAAAAGATGAGGACAACCACGAAGACAAGGGATTCCAAAAATCCAGGGGAACGGTAGCAGTGATCTTCTTCGGGGCCCCAGATTCTAGAAGCAAACATCAAGAAAAATTAGCACTACGAACTATCATGGCAGCAGAACCGGCTACTCCAAGATATCTCAATTGGTCACAGTTTCCAATCCAATTTTCAAGAGAAGACCAATGGACTAGCGTGGGAAACGCAGGCCATTACCCACTGGTTCTAAATCTAACTATTGCCGGTATGACTGTCACCAAAGTACTAATCGACGGGGGAGCTGGACTCAACATCATCTTTTCAGAAACGCTAAGGAAGATGGGACTGCAACTCGCCGGGATAATTACACCAACAAGTACACCTTTTTATGGCATAGTACCCGGCAAGGCAGCCATGCCACTTGGACAAATTACTCTACCCGTTACTTTTGGAACTCCCTCGAACTACCGTACAGAGTTCATCAAGTTTGAGGTTGCGGACTTCGATTCATCATACCATGCAATCCTCGGGCACCCAGCGCTAGCAAAATTCATGGCAATACCGCATTATCCGGACCTACTGCTTAAGATGCCAGGACCTAATGGTGTCCTTTCTCTTCGAAGTGATTTGAAGCGCGCTTTTGACTATGATGTTCAGGCAATCCAAATCGCAGCCAAAGCACAAGCCAACAATGGTAGAAAAGAAATAGCCACTATTACCGCAGATATAAGCCAAGAAGAACTAGAGATACCGGCTAAAAAGTCCAGCAT